ATTAATTAATGCTTATTTTTTTGCGACGATAATATATTGTAGATGTAATCACAATATTCATCTTTAATACAAATCTTAAAAATAATTATGACAAATGGCAGACATTTTCTGTGACAGAGATGAATGCATGTATATGAAGTATTTTCAAATTTAATGATTGTTATATAAAAATTGTTATGTAAATATTTATAACGATATTGTTGGAAATAGTGAAGAGAAATGAGTTAGTTAATAAAATGAATGTCACAAAAAGGTCACAGCAAATTCATTCATAACTTCTGATTATCGTTTTATATCTTTTGTAGATGATTATTGGCAGTTAATGACGTACTTAATTTTTTTCCAATATGTTTGGTCTAATTTAACTTATCAGATATCAATATCTTGCTTGAGATTTCGTTTTTCTCTCTTCGCGTTGGTGACGTCATTGTTGTAATTGACATATATTTGACATATACGAAAGACATATAGTTATAAATAATGCTAACAATATTTTACTTTATGATTGTTCATCTCAGGACAAGTAGGTAGTCAGTTTCTCTCATCTGAAGGAGTTTTTCATTTCTATTGTATTTCCTCAGAATCTTTTAATTTTTTAATTCTCTTCTCGTTTTCATGCATTGCAATTACACATTGAATAAAGTGAAGATTTGCAATATTTTGAAGCAGAGCTAAGCTGTAAATTCAGTAAAAAATTAGATTCTTAGGATTTTCGTTAAGCAAATTCTTTCCCTAAAACCGCAAGAATTTATTTATGAGTTGTCAAGGTAATAGTCAACTTCAAGGATGATTATTCATATCACCATAATCAGCCTACTATCCTCTTTGTCTTCTACTCACAAATTTCTCCCCTTTCCACGTCGCTTGCAACAAAATAGGCGTTCAGTGATCTAAATATTATTGAAGATTAATTGATAATTATTCTTGATTAACTCACTCTATTGCTCTTTGATTTCGAAACATTTATAATTTACTTGACTGATAATGCTTGTTGCACTTGAATCTTTGTTATCGATTGCATGCTCTCTTTTCATCCTGCTTCATATTTCAAGGCATATGCAAAATGTAAAAGTTGTACATCTGTTTTGCATGGGAAAACGACTTCATATCAAGATCATTTATTTATGCATTTTCCCTTAATTAAGATTATTAGCTGCATGTGTCACAGTTTAAGTAAATTTGTTTGCTGATATTTATACATGTTAACTTAAAGGAATAATTGTTACTATGGACTCATTTGATTTTCCGGAAATGTAAGCTTGAAATCTATATTTCTATTTTAAAGCAATCTTATCACATTTTTGAACTATTCTTCTATGATAACTGGCTTACATTTTGTTAGGCGTAAATTGCATCATTTATTAAATATGTGAACCGTTTTCTTATATTTGTAATCTCAGAAGAAATCCATCAGAACGATGACCTTTTTCTGATCCTTTCGAATTTTTATTTTCAATATTTTCACTTTTTTAAATACTTTCTAAACTTTTTTTCAAGATCTAGTTTTATCTTCATGCAATATCAATTTTCTTCAAATGGAATAAATGAATGATTTTAAATATTTGAAGACGAAGATAAAGAAGTAGAAAAAGAGAAAGCAGGCGAGAGTGGTGGTTCATCTTCTGGTACAATTAGTGAGGGTGATGACCTTGGAGAAATAGTTGTACCGTCAACACCAAAATCGAAAATGAAGAAGAAAGTGGATGAAAAGGTTTCTAAGGATGATGAAAACGTTATGCAAACGCCACTTAGTAAACTCAATCGAAGTGAGTCGTTTTCTTAATTAAAAAATTTTTGTGCAGATATCGAACACATATTTTTTTACAAAGTTTTAATAGCAGCATGTATACATGAGGTATCGTGCATTTTTATTTTAAAAGGTATTATTTTAAATAAGTGTACTTTTATTTTAAAACATTTTTGAAACCCTGAAATGAAAGGGTATCGCAAAAATGAGAGTATTAATTGATTCACTGATCTCCTTTTTTCGTTCTCAGATATCTCCGGATCACATATGTATCTCTCTTCTTTAAATTAACTGTATCTTTCTTTATCTGTATCAATTTCACAAAAATGCTATTTATTTTAATTGACATACTGGAATTTCACGTTGTATTCAAAATAAATTGCATTGATTAATTACCGTAGCATCTCGACATATAGGTAATAAATTTCAGTTCCAACACGTAAAAATGAAAAGCTGGCAGCGTTGTTAGAAAAAAGTTTGAAGACCCAATCACAGCAGGGACAGCAGTCGCGAAAAAGAAGCAGTCTTCCAGCAATACGTGGAAAAACGCAGCCTAGAAAATCACGCATTTTACTGCCACAATCGTCATCTGCCTCTATATTTGCAAATGTTTCGCGAACACGTTCTGCACGTGTAAATTTGAACGAACGTTTTGCTATGATGGATCGATTAAATGAGGAAACTAATGCCTGTTCTGCTACTTCATCACCTGCTGCGGTAAGTGCCAGTTTATGAATAAAATGCAGTTGAGTTCCAGTTTAATCAGTTATCCTTTTGATTCATGCTCTCAGCAAACTTAAAAAAAATAAAAAAAAAGAGAAAACTTAGCATAATATGATCTCAGAATTCTCTGCTGATCTATAAAGCGAAGTGGAATATTGCGAAGTGGTCGGTTTAGTTAGCCATCCGGACAGGAAATGATAGAATTTTTAAGCAATTATTTTTTAATCCATGTTCTGTGTATTCACATATGGTAATATTCCCATGAAACAGTATTTCAGCAATTCTTGCTGTATGCTTCTTTAGTCAGTAATTTTTTTAGTACCTCAGCTGCTTTTACTTCTCTCACGTGATATTTTTAATATAAAAGGACTTTGTGTTAACACTTGAAAAGATCATTTGGTGGAAAGGAAGAGAAAAGAGTTTAATTGAAAATAACCAGATCTTCACTGTTGAGAATATTGTGAGAATATTATAAGTTTTCTTAGTTTCATTTCCAGCGAATTAATTTTCAGCCTCAGACTATGATCAAAGATATATCACTGGACAAAAGTATCATTGAGCGGTATCGCAAACGCATCGAAGCTGTCCGTCACTCAGCACGCAAAAGTGATAAAAATGAGGTAAATAAAAGGAAACGTTTTCAGTGCCGATTTCCAATTAAAAGCATTCCACAGTCAAATTTAATATAATTTTGCTAAAAAATAATTAATGATGGTTTTAAAAGACAAAAAAAGATATAATATTATTATATCCTTTTAAGCCACTTTTCGCTTTCGAAACAAAGTTGAATTGTTTCAAATTTTTGCTGTTATCGTGAAATTTCTATTGGAAGAAATAATAATTTTTATTGCGAAACATGGAAAAATTCATTTCATGTTTTTCTTTTATTTTTTCAAAAATCTACCGAAACATTCTGCTGCTGATATCTAAATCAGTTATCGTAAGCCGTACATTTTTTCTTGTGAGACTATATGTTGTTGAATAATCTTTTCTCAAAAGTGAAACTTTTTTGGTTCTGTAGAACAAGAAGCAATCCAAATGCAGGAGCAGTGAAAAAGGAGGGAGAGAAAATTAATTATTTCCTGAAATAAATTATTTGAAGGTATTTTACGGTCGTTGCACATCACGTCGTAACTTATTCGATGATAGTATTGATGAGGAAGATAGTGAAGGAGTGGCGACACGTTCCACAGCTTGTATTCAGAAGAACCGCAGTGGACGATCAGTACAAACTAGCCAAAAAGTCTATATGGCACATGCATTACTTAACGTTTACAACACAGACCCTTTGAATCCACCGAAATTACCGAAGGATGCTCCATTCAAATTACATCGTCTCATTCGTCCGGCATCGAAATCGGATAAAAAGAGGCTGTTCAAGCTCAGGTAAGTCCATCATTCTGGAAATTTAGAAATCAAATATTCATTTGGCAGGCAGGAGGCTTTTTGATAATATTTAGAATAATTTCATTTATTACCATTGGATGAGTAAAAATAAGTAACACAATTTCCGTCATTATTCAGTTCGATTAAAACTGAGCATGTAGCATGGAAATGCGTTTATGAAAAGATCTTATCAAATATTTGAACATTTCTGGTATTTTAAATTAAAATAAATCATATTTAAAAGCTGTTTCGCACGGAACATTTTTCATGAGCATCCTTATTGTTACGTTGTGCAGGCTCGTAGTCGTTTTGCAGGCTTCGAATGGCTCGCGAAAAATCGGGATCATCATCTTCATTACTTAAGAGTAGTACATCGCGTGAGACTCTTGAAACTGTAAGTTCAAAGGATGTGAAAACAAAATCTGAAACACCAGAAGAAAATTCTTCGAATGGAAGTGAAAATTTTGAAGACATTGAAAAGAAAAGAATATTAGAAAGTGGCAGCTCAGAAAAAAAGGATCTTTTCAAAGATCCAAATATAAAAAAATTATCTAGAAAATTTAGTGGAACACCGGGAAATATTGAAGCTGATCTGGGGCCTTCCATCCAGTTATTAAAGAAAAATTCTAACAGAAAAGTAAAAAAGTCATCCCAAAGTCACAACAAATCGAAAACTCCAGATAGCAGTGGATCAATTGAAAGTGAGAAATCATTGAAAATCTTCAGTGAAGCAATAGATGATGTTTCTGAAACAGTACCGAATCCATGTATTAATTCCAGTTCTGTTTTTGAGAAATCTGGGTCAGCAGGTATTATAGAGGGGCAGATGAGGAAGGCGAATTCCGAAGTTACGATGAATAAAATAGAAAGCGAAGGTGAAAAACTAGAAATTTTGGGTGAAATATCCTGTCAGATGAAAGAAAAACAAGAAGAAATGGACGTATCATGAAGCTCTTTTTCATTTGCGTAAGTTTATTCAGTATGTGTATATTAATAAGTTCTTTGTCTTTAAAACCACAGATATTCTCATATTATACGAAGAGAGAAGCTAAGTTTTCATACTATTTTGATAGCTTGTGTTTCTGAATTGTTATTGAAACATTCAAACGAATTAATAGCAAATTTTGATTGAATATTTACAAAAAAGCAGGCTCGTTCTATTGGAAATTCCTAAATCTCGAATTATATTTAGTTTTTTTAATTTCACCTGCTTCATAGGCTTTCACTCTGTCTATACATTGATTGTTTAGATAGTTAGAATATTTTATATTTGATTTTTTTTAAAGTTCCAGGGTATTTAAATGTCAGTGCGGTAAGGCTAGCACATATTAGGCACTTTTTTTGAAAAATTCATTTTAGAAAATTCATCTCTTCCCATAATATGTGTTATTAACTGAATTTATAAATTGATCTATGTGATGTTTGTCATTCATATAAGGAATTTAGAAAGAGAACTCGAGAGCGAGATATTGTCTTTTGCAGGCAAGACCGGTCCAGGAGCATTTCCAAGAATTATTTCAATAAAAATCTAGGTTGAATAGTTGGTTGTGATAAAACAAAGAATTTACCAATTGGAAAAGGAATTTCGATGGTTTTATTAATTTTTTTCTTGAACCTTGGATCGAGAATGTGGAACTGTTTATGGATGGATGTGTTTTTCAGCTATTGCCAATGTCGCTAAGTACAAAAACTAGGTTGAAATCGCTTCAGTAATAAAGCCGAATTTGATTTATCAATCTGACTATTTCTGATACTATAAGGATCAGTCCTGATTTTACAGACTGGATTAAATAGCATTATCATCTTTCATTAAATGTTTTATTTCTCAGTTTATTGTAATATCAAGCTGAATTATTTTATTATTGTTTCAATTTCATTTTGCATTGTTATTTTGAAGTTCAAATCCGCATCTTGTGCGCTTTCTGAATGAAGTACTTTCTCTGTTGCATATATTTGTTTTTGTTTGCTTCAATGTGTGTGCGTGTGTGTGCGTGTTTTTTTTTTTAGAATGCTTCACATTTTCATGTATTAGTGGACGGATAATTGTAAATACATTTGTTTGTTTAATCGTCAAGAAAAAAAAAGTTTGTTTTCACTTTTCAATCTTTTGCATTACATGTATAAATATGGTATTGCAAACAGCTGAAACGCTGTTATACATGTCAGTTAGATAATCAATTGATGTAAGAAATAGGAATTGTGAAGAGTATGCGGTGGATATTTCTTATCAATTCTAGAAATTTAAATTGTCAAGTTTGGGATTAGAAAAGTTATTTTTAATAAGGTGATTTGAATTTTAGAAAGATTAATGCGTTTTTGATGATTGATAAAGGATAGTCATATACAATGTAAATTGCAGATCTAAAAGATTCAAATTTCATATTCATTCATGTAGAATTGATTTTGTTTAAAATATAGTTTATGAATAATTTTAGATTGATTATGGACATGATTTTTAAATTCTATTTGTATTCAATCCTTCTGCATCCAACGTGAACTTCCCAATAATTCAGAAACTATAAATAATTTTCTAGCTTCTTATTTTATATCTTGCACGTATGGTTGTGCTCATTGATGAAAAGAAATCTTGAAAAGCGGTCCAAGGGGCGGCGACTTTTAAGGCCACGTCTAGAAGTTAAAGAAGAGGTGACTATTTACAAAGAAAAATTTCTTTGAAGGACTTCTTCGAACTACATATTAGATTATTCAGAAGGATTCGAGGAAGTTTCTTACTGCAAAATTAAATACTCGCTGTTCAGAAATCATCGATCATTTAATAGAAAACGGAAGTCATTATTAATAAGGAAAATCTGATCAAGAAGTGTTGTTGAATCTTTTATTAGTAAACTTTTGAGTTCAAAATAAATTCTCAGTTTCAGGAAGGATTTGACAGAAGTGATGTAAAAAAAGCGTTGCTAGAATCATTGTATGAACAACGTAAAGAAGAACGTCGAAAAGAATTGGAAAAAGAATTGAAACGACGTGGAAATCACGTTACTAATAGACTTCTTCAAGAGGACGGAAAAAGGAAGAAGAGAGATAAGCATAAGTGTGATAATAGAGGCAGCAAACAAAAAGAAAGTTTGGAATTAAAAAGAAGAAAAAAGAAAGAAAGAATTGAGGAGCATACTTCAAGAGGCAAAAATTTGTTGAGAGGAAAAGAAAAAATCAAAGTTCAGGAAACAGAAATAAAAGAGAAAGAAAAAGCAAAGAGTTTGGAAGTGAGAAATAAGAGTGTAGCTGTAGTGAAGAGTAAAGAGAAAGTGAAGGCTCCGAAAGTGGTTAGTGAACAGAATATTTCGGACGAAGCGGGCACGTTTATCAAGAAAGCTGAACATAAGAATGTAAAAAAAGATCTGGACATCGAAACATTACCATCAACTAGAGATTTCATCCGATTCATGTCATTAGATTACGCAGACGGTTTGAATTTAAAATTATTGAATTTGGATATCTCATAAATAATATCCAGTAAACAACGATCGAATATGATCCTATTAGAAATGGCCATAATTTTTTGTAAGACTACCAGCACTGAGAGATGAATTCATAAGTTGCTTATTACAAGAATGTAATTTTCAGTCTTGTTGTAATTTAAGTTTCTTTTTCGTTAAAATTATTTGCCATTTGCAGATCCTGAAGGTATACCAAAAGAATTACGACATTTTCGTACTCTTCCATTAGTATCGCTTCCGAAATTGCCATGGTCAATTTCGAACAAATGAATGGCAAAATTGTAAGTGAAATTTCCAAAAAAATTATAATCAAACAGATTCAATCACTCTGTTTCATTATATTATGTTGATGGTACAAATTTAATAGAAAAAATGTCGGAATTGAAAAGATAAGGTGTTCATTCGAGGAGCTTCAAGAAAAAGGAATATATCGTTCTCAATTTGAAACGAAGATTTCCATTTTAAGTGTCCTGTCTGTGACCGCCATTGTTTTCAAAAAATCTCTTGCTTAAATTTTACAAATATATGAGATTTTCCAGATTCATTTGATCAACATTGCGTTTATTGGTATTTCATTCGTCATATCGTTATTGCTCTTTCAACATGGTTTCTTACTCAAACGAGTTGAGCTCACATCACGTAGTTCATGTTTGGATGTTGCTTCACGTGACGCTTGTTGGTTTCCGGCTCAATATCAACGGGTTGTTCTTATTCTGATTGATGCCTTACGATACGATTTTGTTGCACCATCTCAACCACAGCTTAATAGTAGCAATAAAGCATATTTCGGTTATTTCTCGACTGTTGCTCGTTTACTCAACGATTACAAAGGTAGATAAATATTTTCAAATTGTATAAAACTAACATTTAACCATACAACCATTTAACGTACTACCAATTTAACCATACTCATACGTATACCCATACTCATATTTAACTCGTACTACCAATTTAACCATACTACCATTTAACGTACTCACTTTTGTGATGATTGCAATTAGCATAAATAAATGAACTTAGTGCAAAATACACGATCTTCAAAAAATAAAACCAAATTTTAGAATCAGCAGTTTTGATGCATTTCCGTGCTGATGCTCCAACTACAACGATGCAGCGTTTGAAAGCTCTAACCACTGGTTCACTTCCCACTTTTATTGATGTTGGTTCCAATTTCGCAAGTACTGCAATAGTGGAAGATAATTGGATTGATGAAATTATCGCAACAAATCGAAGTATTGTTATGCTTGGAGACGATACATGGTAAGTTATTCATAACAACGAATGTAGCTAGTGAAAAATAGGCCATTATTTCTTGGTCGCAAAATCTGTTGTTGCTAAATTCTGATAAAGTGCTTCGATTATAAGAAGAATTGAATATTTCGAAGCTCACTGTTGCTTAAGCCATTTCGTGACATGTAATTCTACATTCTTCTACTTTTTTTTCAGGGTTTCACTCTATCCAGAGCAGTTCAAACGTAGATATCATTTGCCATCTTTCGATATAAATGATATTCACACCGTCGATCAAATGATTTCAAGTAAGTTCCTCAGAAGAGTAAATTTTTTCATTGAATAAAGTGTTTCTTATATCACTTTTTCCCTTATAATATTATTAAACGGATCCATATTCCAGATAATCTTTTCGATGAGCTTGAAAAATCGGATTGGACTGTATTGATAGCGCATTTTCTTGGAGTTGATCATTGTGGACATAAATATGGTCCAGATCATCCTGAAATGTCCAAGAAATTAAAACAAATGAATAAAATTTTGGCGCAAGTGGTCGATTTTCTAGATGATAATACTTTATTGTTAGTAATGGGTGATCATGGAATGACTGAAAATGGTGATCATGGTGGTGACGAACTATTAGAAACCGATGCTGCTTTATTTATGTTTGCCAAAAAGAAACTAATTTTTGCGGAACCACCTGAATCAGTTTCACAGGTATAATTTCGGTCGCAGTTTATGTGGGCGTTAGTTTGGTTGATTTTTGTTCAACAATAAAAGTAAGATCTGAAATTTTATGCACTTGACAATATAATATGATTGATAAAATTTACTGAGTTAATAAGTAGTGCGTATATTGCACGGCAGTTGCAAAGTAACATCTTTCAGTAATAGAATTATTTTCATGAAGCACTGATTTTGTAGGTATCTGAATCTTTCAAACTTTAAAAAGATCAAACACCTCGCATAATTTTTTTCAGTCCTACAGAATTTTTGACGGATGAGTTGGTATCTACCACCCGTTAAACAATAGTTTTATTTTGCCTACACTTTAGAATAATCGAAATGGCAAATTAATTTATATTGGTGTAATGTTTTTTTTTTAGGTTGACATTGTGCCAACCATCAGTTTGTTACTTGATTCGCCCATTCCATATTCTAATATCGGAACACTGATTGATTGCACCATAGTACCGGAACACCGGGCATTAGCTATAAGCAGTAATGCAGAACAGATGATGCGTTATGGACGGACTATTGTGGCAGAAACTCAGTTACCAGAGCTAGATTCATTGATACGAAGCTTCGAGAATAATGGGAATGTAGAAAACTCTATTGACTACATGCGGCGTTTGCAAGAACTTTTGCGTGCGTCATGGACTGAATTCAATAGTAATTTCATGCGAATCGGTTTTCTATCATTGCTTGATACCATATTATCAGTTTATGATTCACTTTATACGGGAAAGTAAGTTCATTTATAAAATTTATAGGTTTTTAAAAATTTTTCTTTCAAACAGAATAGTTTGAAATCCAATTACTATTATTTATATCATGCAAATGTGCTTTTTTCAGAAGGCACCATGCATCAAATGATCTGGTAGTTTTGTTTCTTTTTTAACATGTAGTTTGAGATAACGTCAACTATCGGAATAGCTTCATAAGCTATATAAACATATTTCATTTGTATTTTTTTTCAGCATTTTATTTTCTTCTTTGATTTTTCGGTCCGGTCTATTCTTCATTCAAATGTCAGTTTTTTTAATTGGATATGACGAACACTATATTTCAATTTTGGATTTTTTTTTATCCTTCTCTTTAATTATTCGACTTGTCCAAACAGCGAGGACGTTATTTTCGTTCACATCAACAGTTTGGGAAATTGCAATATTTTGTATGACTATTGCACATGCATCATCTTTTCTTTCCAATAGTTATATTGTTTTTGAATCATCGGTAATACGTTTCCTGACGCAAGCTTTGGTTGCTGTTGGATTTTGGCAGTCATTTTCAAATAGGTATACGATTTTCAAAAAATTTATTTGAACCTTAACCAGTTAACAAATCAGAATACAATAGTTTTGAATGCAATACAAATTTATAAATCGGAAAAAAATGAAGTACACCTTTAATTTTAATTTAATGTTTAATTCAAATTTAATGAAGAAAAAAAATATCAGATTTTATGAGTATACTAATTTATCTTCAGAAATCGTAATGTCAACTTTCCAGACAATAACGCTTTTTCCTTGGATAACATTATTTGCAGGAAACATAATAATCGGCATCAATCAAGATCGTTTTTGGCGATTTTAAAAAATCGTTTTAGTTGGCAACGTTCACTTATTCTCATTATAATCATTTTACTTTTGCGGCTAGGTATTTTCTTTGAGAAATGTCGAGAAGAGCAAGGAGATGCATGTAAAGCTTCAGTATTTTCACAGTCATTTTCGCATGTCCCTCACGGTGAGTACTTTTTACATTGTTTGCAGATCTTAATAATTCATGCAAAAAAAAGTGATGCAGATCATTATTTGCAAAAAACTCTATGGATTTTTAATTTAAGCAGAGTGAGCATACGTAGATACATTATCAGTTTATTTCAGCTATTATAATTTTAATCGTAGTTATGTAATCAAATTTCCTACTCAGAAGTCGATAGCTTTTTCAGGTCCTATAAAAATAATGCGTTTTATGTTCGGTATCCTAGTACAGATTGTGGCTGCATGCATGGCGAAGAAATTTCTACAAAGTTATCCTTCCGAAATTTGGACTTCAACATTTATTTTTCCAATAACAGTTGCTACTACTTCTTTTTGGTTATCTCTTTGGTTACCTGAAGATACATTTAACCATTTTGCTCGATTTTCCCTTGGTACTGCTCAGGTTAGTTCTGAGTTAAACATATCGCTACTGCTGACATACCACTGAGTGCAATAATTGTACATTGTAATAAAACGTTTTTATAAGGTTCTAAGGTTAAATGGTATCACGTGATGTACTTTTAGCATTATAAACCAACAAAATTTTTATTTTTATAGTAGCTTGAAAGAAAAATCCTTTATACTTGTGAAAACTTCATTTTCCTTTTCTTTTCTTCCACTTTATACTCGAATTAGCAAATATGCAAATCATTATTTCCAGATGGTTTATGGATTATCGTTCATCAATTTATTAATTATTTGTTATCATGCAGCTCGTATAGGAAAATTTTGGAGTCGAAATGGTTGCACCATATCATATTTAATTTGTATATCATCTGTATTATTTCTAATTCTTGGTGATGGTCTAGCATTCAGTTTCCTTTCATTAATTACAATAATCTTCCTTATTCCGTTTATTATCGATGACGGTATGTTATTTGTTTATATCTTTACCATATATTCTAAGGACGTGTTCTTATCTTTTATTTTTTAGATTTCAATTTTTCTGTAAAAAAAGAAATGATCATTTGGAAGTCTTATGTTCTATTTTTTTTTATTTATTTGGAAATGTTAAATTTATACAGTTTTTGTTTTTCAGAATATTACCAAATAGTATTTCTTGTTTTTCTATCATCGCACGGATTTTTTTCTTTATCACATCAACCGACATTCTCATCAATTCCTTGGCAAGCAGCCTTTGTGGGTGTTCCCGGTAATTTTGCTATCCAAATAGTACCAGGTGCACTTGTTATTGCGCATATTTTTGCATCACAAATCATCACAAGCGTGGCGTTACCGATGCTTGTCACGCAACAAAATTATCGACAATCTGGCCTTTCACATTGGACCTATAAATTAATCTTATTTCATTCCTTAAAGGTCAATTTAAGTTAATTTCAGAAAACACTGCGGATAAAAACTTGTGATAAAATGCTGGACTTCAATTCTTTTTTTTTAAATTTAGTGTATTATGATGTCACAATGCTGACATGTAAGCACTATGTGATCCACGCAGTATTTGTTCACACAACTTAATTCATTTTTGACGAAAAATCATCTGATCTTGAAGTACCGAAAACCTTATTTTAGATTTTAATCCAAATAGAATATAATAACGGATGGGAGCGTTCAGATAAAAGTTTAAGATCTCCAAAAATTGGAATTCTGAATAAAATCATATAGAAAGTTAAAACTCGTCAGCAAAAAAAAAAAACTATGTATACGAAGACTTCACTTAGCAAGACTTACCAATAAATTATTCAAGAAATTTCTCTCAGTTAGCCCATTTAACGATAAGTTACACTACTGATTGCTTAAAAAAAGAAAAACAAAGATAACCAAATTTCAGGCACTCTCAGTGTGTGCGATGGCAGCCATACATCGACGGCATTTGATGGTCTGGAAAATCTTTGCCCCTAAATTTATTTTTGAATCACTTTCTCTGTGTGTTACATGTTTTACTCTGCTAATTACCAATTGCATCTTCTGGAACTTAATCATACCGCCATCTTCTCATTTAGCTGAGAAAAGCAAATAATTTGTGCTTTCCTTTAGTGATTGTCATTTTTCAAAAAATCATTCAGTGCCTCAAGATTTTGAAATCAATACGTTTAAAGTCTTTCACCTTAAACGTTTTCTTTGTTTGCAATTTTTTACTTGAATTGATTACTTTATTTGTATAATACTTTATTTCCTGGTTTTACTTTGAAAATCCTTTATGGTCGTACCGGGAGATATTTTGGTCTTTATTTCGTTGATTTAATATAGTTTAATATTGTATATACGGAAATAATGCTAACCTACAAATATAGGCCTCTTCTCACAAATTCATGATTTACAAAGGATATAGAGATAAGTTAGCATGACCAAAATCAGTCGACTGATTCATTATTTACAGTAGTAATATCATTTGCCTTTAATATATGTTTATATAATCAATCAATAACTATACACTTCAAAATTTTCTGTCCTTCCATAAACAGATCACTCGAACATCCATGGAAGAAATCAACACTAAGACTTGGTGTATCCTGAATAAGTTCGAAGTACTGTAGCAGACTTTCCTCACAAAGGCCATTTGATGTGATAATATCCGCTAAAGCAACTTGCTCAGGTATGCTACTTTGTGCCCATCTTTCCAGTGGAAATTCCTCTAGTGGTGGTAGTAAATCTGTTCGTAAAATATCCAAATATTTATCAATTTGTGCGGATATCTTTTCAGCTCGCTTATGAAATTCACGTTGTAACCAGCTAATTCGGTGTTCCTTCATTGTAACTGCCAAAAGACCTACACGACTTTTCCTAATTTCAGCATCAAGTTCCTAAAAACAAGACGGAATTGTAATAAAATCAGTTACAGCGAACTAAGATAGATTTTCACATTATACTGATAATCTCAAACAGATTTTCTGTTCTAAATACTTCGAATGACACAATATTTTTTAAATTTTGAAATTTTTGTTAATATGCAATTTTATGGAGTGTCTTCAGTTGTTACAATAACACTATCAAAGTTCTTAATCCATATTAGAACGTCTTAAGAAGGAAACAAAACTAAGATTAGAAACGATGTAGAAATGCTGAAATCTTGCAACATTTTCAGCATGAATTATCAAATAGAGTTCAAAATTGACCTTGAATTTTTCAGTATTAGGTAAAAATTCTTTAATTGTGGAAATAAAACTCGCCCTTCTTCGTGGATTACCTTTTGTAGCAATAAGATCTTTCATCAATACCTAAAATGTTCAAAATAAAAACTTCGAAAAACTCATTAGTTAAACGGAATGCCTCAATGTGTTATAAAATATTCTTTGAAAGCACACCTAAATGATAACCAAAAACGGAATTATTTATATGTGATAGATGTATTCCCAAATGCAACTGTCATCCAAATATTATTTTGCTGAAGTCCATTTCTTCATTCCCTTCTTTGTTTTGCTTCTTTTAAAATAGTTTGAAATCTATCGTTTAAATATAAAGCACGAAGATTGCGCAATTTTCTAACAATGTAAGCAGCCGCTCGTTCAATTTGGTATGCATTACATTCTCGATTTGTTGACGGAAGTTTATACATCGTCAATTGTTTCGCTAATTCTCGAACAATTGAATAATTGGTATATTTCCGGTGGCTAATGATATATTTCATAATGAAAAATGCAAATTCAAGATGCATTTCATCGGTAAGCGATGAGACCAACAGCCGAACAACCTTAACGTAATTGTACCTTAGCGCATGACGTATGATTAATTCGTGGAATTCCATCGATCTAAATAAATTGTCATATTAATATGAACATGAAAAATAGCCTCTTGCTTGAATAATCATTGTCGTTTACATAATTACTAAAGAAACCAAACGTTTGAATGAATAGAAGGGTTTCAGAGAGCCGTTAACCTAACTTCTGTTTTACCTTCCGATTTCAACATAAACTTTTAAGGCTAAATCTTTAAAGAGAACTGAAATACAAGTTATCAAAAACAAGTATAAATGTCCGGACTGACCTATTATTTTTTAGTTCATAAGTTTTTTGCAAATTATAGTTTTGGAGATTTAAAAGAGCATAACTCATCCTGCATCTTATTGAAAACTTGAAAACCTAATAAGGAATCCTTAAACATGGTATACAAATCAGCAAAACCTAATCCTACACAAACTCTCCAATAAAACTTTAAAAAGACAGTCTCAATTACCAATAGGAAATCGGCTGAAAGCCCAAACTAAACGTTTAAGACTCATTGTTCAAATTATAAAACAGAAAACCAAAAAGTAAAACTATGTTTATTCCACCGAAAAAAACGCACACAAGATTTGATTAATGAGCGGTTAAAAATTATTAACAGCAAAAACAAACGAAAAAAATGAGATATTCCATTTTAAAGATTTCAGTCATTTGAAAAAGGAATATGAAACTTAAGTACATAAATATATGTGATCACGAACAGACGATTTTATTATTATCTCTGTGCATTATTGTGAAAGCCATAATTTCGCTAAAAAATATTATAATCCTAGCAGGAAAAGAACAATATAACAGTGAAACTTTGTAGAAAAATCGAAAATTTATGAAAAGAAGTTTCACTTGCATGTTCACTAAAATACAATTGAAGCTGACAGGTAAACGAGTGGAACAATTTTTTAAAAAATGATCTCCGACAGTTTTATTCGACATCTCTCCATAAAAATGAGAATTAAGAAGCGAAGTTCACATTTAAACGAAATGTGTGGGCATTTGATTTCGATTAAAGATTATATTAAAAGGTTGCATCATATTATTTCTGCTATTTATCTTTCGTTAAAAAAATTTGATTACGATCTTTTAAGTGAAGAATCGTTTTCACACTTGCTATTATTTTAAATATTGATGCCAGAAACTGACAAAAGCATTTCCTCTTAACTTTAGACTAAAGAGAGAGAGAGAGAGAGACAGAATAGTGGTACTCGGGACATACTAAAGCAACAAAGGTAATGAATGCCAGTTCATTAAGGACTGTACAATTACGGTAGTAAATTTGACTTGTACTTCTTCCTTGACTCTTCTTTTTCACAATCCACGGTAATCCAGGAAAGCAGAAACAATAATTTCATAGTTAATATTGCACGTTATATCAGGCATCATTATTTTCAGAAAAAATAAACAACAGAAAATAAATGAAGAGTTCAGTGAAATTTACTGCGTTCAGATTATTGAGAACAAATAAAAGATGAAGGATAAAAAATAAACTTATAACCGGACAACAAAAGGAAATTATAATCAGCCCCAGTTGAGATGGATTTATATCAGGCTAACTTTTTAGATTTCTCTACTATGATGAATAATTCTGTTAGCTTTAATCGTTTCGGCAAAATAGCAACAAGTACATCTCATCTCATCTCAGAATAGTTTGCCAAAAATGAGTCCAAACATAAGAGCAGCAAATCCAATCAGCACCATCTGAAATTAATTATCTGAGTAATTTTACTGCCCTTTATTTAGTTGTGTTACATATTGTTATACGATAAATGAAATAGAGAAATTCAGTCAGAGACACTTCCCCGGATCTCTGTTCTAATCAGTTTAGACACATAGAAGAATAGTTTTTATGATGTCAGGAAAGAGTTGAAAATTTTGAACAGCACTTGCGTACATTTTAAATAACATAACTCACTTGAAGGATTGTGATTCCGCCTTCTGATGTCTGATCACCCGTAACTTGAGGAATTGCCTCAAGCGCAGCAAGCCGAGCCTGAAATTATGGACATTTATTTGAGGAATTTGTAACTGAAATGGAAATACGAAATCAGAATATTTCCAATAAATTTAAAAAATATCATTTTGAAAAAGCTTGATAACCTGATTCTAAATTGTGGAAAAGGTATTCATTAACTAAACAAAAAAGTAAATATTGAGAATGCAAAAACCTGGAAATTTACTTCGCTAACCTTAAGGTTATTATTGTCCCTCTCCAAACTAGCCTTCGCAGCTTCCACTCTATTTTTCTCTTCAATTACACGACGTACTTCGACATCCATATTCTGAATCACTCCAATATATTTGAACTTATTAAGCAAATGGAGCGATAAGAAATATATTTAAAAGCGTTTAAGCAAGTTAGTAAAAAACAAAATTATTTTCATACTTCGTAAATTTGAATTTCGTAAAATCTAAAGCAGTAAAGAGTACCGCAGCATATCCACCGGTTGCAGGTTTTGATTCCGAGAACATTCGAGGAGGCGTTTTGTCTCCTCTGTATTCCAAAACAGGAGGATGTTCAAAGACGACTCGTAACTTTGAATCCATAAGTTCGGAAGGTTGTGCATTTTTCCAAATACTATCTGTATTTTTTTCGAATATTATCTACTTGTTAAATCACACAAAAAAAAGTTATGCAATGAACTGTCCTTCACAAAGTGTAAATATTTCAAAGAACCAACCCCGATCAGAAACTTGATTGTCCCTAAATTCTGCAAGACCATGAGATGAAAGCGCTCATACAACGACTAAAGCCTCGATCTTATGGTGAACAGCCATACCTTGGGTTCCGTCTTATTCAGACAAGGCTGACCAGTCCACCTCAGACATTAGTCATAAATCTTAAATCATCGCGCAGAACTGAACTCAAATGTTCCCATTCCTAACTATTCCGTGAACCACTGCACTAAGCAAGTCCACCTCCCCTTGATATCCTAAAGTGGAAACTGGAATGCAGAGAAGGAATTTTAAAATACAAACTCGCCCAATTTAAATTTAATTTCGTCCAAGACTTTTAAATACACTGAAGATCTTTAAATATACTTGAATCTAAGTGTATTTCAAGGCTTACTATTGAAATTACAAACTAATAAATGCTTTCAAAGAAAGTATGTCAAAAAGAACATTAAAGCATATACCTAATGAGAGATCCCCCGGCGGTGCATAAACGCTCTGCACCATGAATTTATGCTTTGTATGCTCCACTTCTACATCACTGGATGGATCAAATGGCTGAAGCATAACCGCTACATTACATATTTCTCCCGGATTAAGAACACCCGAATTCGGACGAACACAGTACTGTTTTGGAGCTGTTGTCTTCACCTAAATGAATAAACTGAATTCCAATCGATTTTTAATTCACAAAGAAAGATCTGTTCCAATGTTTCAGGAAACGACAGACTATTTTTCAGCAGTTTTGGAGTAACGCATTGTCTTACTATGGCAAAAATATGTCATGAATGAATGTACCCGATTCTTTCATCAAAAAGGCACAGTATAACATGCACTATTCCTATAAAATGATTATTTCTAGACCATCCAAACAAGCCAAAAATATTTCAACATTTGATAATATATAAATTAATGGAGATTAGTCAAAGTACCTTATATAAAAAAGACGAGTACAACATCATTACCAATAGATTTGATAAAAAGCAAAACAAGACATGAAAAAGTTCTACCAGAAACTTACAAATCATTCCCTACATGCATTTATGTTGAACAAAGACAAGCTTTACATACCTTGAAGCAAACCCGGCGTTCCGTAGGATTCGTCAACCTCATTTGACAAGTCACTACATCATTAAAAGGACCTGGAAAAGCAAAATCACCAGCATATCAGTTTTGTTCAAATTTAGCCTTTTTTCCACCTTAAATGTCCTTTATGTTTTGCTGTATATTACATTGTAATGCAGCAAAACATGAAACAAACATAAAATCTAAACAAAACCAGCACTTACACTGTATAACTCTTTTGATCTTACAAAGTTTCTGGAAAAAAGATATGTTACTACCATTAGTAATTTGATAGATTTGCCGCTACACACAAAGTTTCATTTTGACATCATATAATTCTAAAAAGCTGCTATTCGGTTAACAAACGAAGCAACCTTGCATGTAGTGTCTACTTTGTATCATACTACGTTATACAATGTCTCTAAACTATTTTTAAATCGATGAAATCAGTAAAAAGCAAAAAACCTTTAAACACAAGCTCATGAGAAGGCTCAATCGTGAGCACTTGCGAAGTTCTTGACATCTCTAACTGAATTTTCGGAAAATAAAATCCCTAATCAATTGTCTCCCTGAAACTATACATGATAAATTCCAAAAACACTCATAAAAACATTAAAACGCTTCATTCAAAAACGTTTTCATAAACTACAAGGAACAAATTCTATACCACCCTTATTTTGTACGAAATAAATCATGCTGATTACCATTATTATGATCTATTTACATCAAACTTACAGATACGAAAATATATTACAGACGATATAAATTTAATTACACTTTTTTAAATGCAGTAAACGAATGCAAGCGTTAACACTTTGTTGAATCATCTTAAAAATACTTTTAAAATAGACACACTGCATAAAACAACTTTCTGCTGCAGCAAGAAAACAGAACAAAAAAAAGTTGAAAAGTTGAAAATTTGATATAAGCTTTGTTAATATAACAAGGGAAAAGATTTACAAGAGAGAATTAACAAACAATAAGACTAATATTACTATAATTACAAATATAAATTTGATAAGACTCATTTTAGTTCTCTACCACTACTGTTAGAGTCACTATTGATAGAAATACAAATAAATTTCTGATATATAAGTCCGAAAAATCCATATTTTTTAAAATTTGTTTTTCTTTTCTTTAAAGTATGACGCCATACAGAGGATAATTTATGAAGCAGAAGGGAATTTCTTGCAATGGGAAATATACGATGTTACGAATGGGAATGTATACTATATATCAGTTCTCGTCTTACACACATTTTTTCCTTTCTTTCATTCATCATTTCATCACCTCACAATTTCATATATTATGTCTACTACAGTCAAATAAGTTTTGAAATAACGCAGTAAGTTGATAATAGACTGCATGTAATTAACAGACTCCGTAGTATATCTTATGCAAAAGGGAATTTTTTTACGAGATTATTTTAGCAGGCTGATTTATCGGAAGTATCAGCTTAATAAATTAAACAAAAAAAAAATGGCCTATATGAAACCAAATGATTTATGAGACATCACTAGGAATGCACTTTTCCAATTATTATGAGCAAGTTGGTTTGTTAATAAACTTCACAATAGATGATGAAGTCTAAAAAACTTGCATAGGCGATGACGAATAAACCATAGTTCACATCTGCAACGACTTCGTCACTCTTCATATATATCATTCCTCTTAAAACTGACCAAATAAATGACAAGATCGCTTCTGAGCATCAGTACTACGGCTAAGCTTTTCGCACTCTTCTTAGCTAATCAATTCCTTCACTGAGGAAATATAAGTGTTCGGATGTTGTGCTTAAAGTACTTTCTCATTATCTATAAGTTTGCAACAAAAATTAACTAATTAACTATAATAAGAAGTCTGAATTAATTCCCAACATGGCACAATATAGAATGCAACCAGAAATGAAAATTTTCGTTATTTCAATCAATTTCAAAACGCTGCCTATTAATGTATTACACTTATACAATATGAAAAATTTTTATACAAGCTGAATTTAAAACTACCATAAAAACAATTGTATTGCCCAATAACACAATCATTCCTCGGCTTGAATGTAGAATCTAATGACTATCTATTGATAGCAGGAACATGTTTTCATAAGCTCCGCTACTAATAAAGCCTAATTTTGCAGCAAAAATTCAATCCAGAGAACTACCAGAAACCTATAAGTTATTTAAAAAAAAAAACTCTAAGGAAGTAAAATTCAATTCACTTCTGAAATTTGTGAAATAAATGACAATCATACACAGTCAACAAACATACAAACACACAAACACACACACACACACATACACAAACACACACACACACACA